ATTTTAAAAAATACGTAAATAAAACAAAAACCAGTAAATAACCTAACAATTTATACAACTGCAGTCTCTGAACACTGAAAAAGTCCTGTTTACATAAAAACAAATTCCACAAAGTCCACATATAGGGAAGACTATTTTTTGTTCACAAAACTTAACCATAGCTGTAAGACAATCACAGATAATTAGGCAGCCAAAATATTAAAACATTTTCAAAGCTTATTCCTAAAATTTCTGCCAATCATGCTGATCATAACTATGCAGCGTCCCACTACTCTTAACAAATGAATTAAATCAAATGTGCACCTAAATACAGTCAACTCTTAATAATCCTTAGCACGGATAACCCACTGGCAGATAAGCCACACCATGGATATTAGTCCAAGCTAGATTCTGCTAAATCCAACTGTATTGTTTCCAAGATCTGTGCAAGTGCAGGAGCAGAATGACCATTTTTACACCGCAAAGAGACTGAACAAACACATGCAACCAGACCTTAGTTGCTTCTGTTCAGGGTCAGTTCAGGTCTCTGACAATGGAAAGTACAGGAGGGACACTGAAGCAGACTAGGATGTATTCTGCTCAAATCCAGACAGAATTATCTCTTTAGGCTCGCTACAGGTTTTGATTACAGCAACAGCAGCCACCATCTCCAAGCCAAGAACAGGCAGGCATCTGTGTACTCTCCGGTGTACCAAAAAAGGTTATGAGCATCAAAAAATGCCATTTCCACTTGGCGCTTCACATGAACTCTTTAGTCCTTCCAGATCCAGACAGTGAAGCAACCTGGTGCAGAACCATGTGTGTCAGTTTCCAACACTAAGTAGAATGTTTCCACAGCACTGCCTAGAAACCACTTGGCTAGTACAGTCACCATTATCTAGCATAACTGAACTTCCCCTATCCCACTCCACCTCCAATAACCCACATAACCAAGAGTTAACTATGGCTTTAAAAATAGTTAATGCCTCAAAAATGTAAATTACCCATGTCTTCTGTTTTCAGAGCAAATGCAAAAAACAGTGCACTCAATTTTAAGAACATTCTTCAGGGAAAAGCCTTGCTAAACTCAATACTTTCATGCCAGTTTCAGGATCTGTCCTAGTTTCAAGGTAGTATGAATGTTCAGGTTAGTGAAAATATTCTGTAATTAATGAAAAAAAATTGTACCAAAAAATGGTGACCCATAATTACATCAGTAGTCTATGTTAGGGAACACTAAACCATACTGTAATCATTTTGCAGTCTAGAGATAACATGGCATCATGTACAGTAGATTTGCTTCTCTAAAATTTCACATTCAGCTCTGGTAAGGATCATTTGGAAGACATATAGAGAAGGGGAAAGGGATGGTCAGTTTTCTGTACAAGGAATGCCCAATCAGTCTGGGCTCCTTCATCTGGAAAAGGAGACAAAAGAAGAGTATGACAGAGGTCTATAAAGCCAGAAGAGGTATTGAAAAGGTGAACATAGAATAACTGCTCTTTGTCACTTCCTATCACTTAGGAAGTGCCAAGTGGCATCAAATAAAACCATGAGGTAAAAGGTTCAAAACAAAACCAGTGTACATCTTGACACATCAACTGCAAAATACCTTGCCACACAACATTATGGACACTAAACCTTTATACAGAAGTGGACACATTAACAGTGTGATAGATTCTTCTTCCATTAAACATAAAAATACCATCTCTGGTTCAAGAAGTCCCAAAGCATAAAAACTTGTAGGCTAGGAAAGTATTCTAAGGCATACAAGAACTTTCGCAAGAATCTAGTTCATACTGATAAAGAGAGCAGACCAAATGTTGTTTGGCCTCCATTATATGCTCCTCTCCTCTTACTATCTCAGGCTGGCACTTTCAAGTTCTGTGTAAGATCCATGACAGTACTGCTCCAAGAATGCTGTACTTATGGTATCACTGAAAACTGTAATTCTGTATTTGCCATAGATACTGGAGAACCCAACATTAAACTTCAGCAACCGTACTGATAAGCACAACTAAGGTACAGTAGATGTCTCCAACCACAAATATAAAACCTAAAAAGCAAATCTAAAGAAGTGCTGATCTCCAGGAATTCAGATAAGCAGTAACAGGCCAGTAAAAGGAAAGGGAGAAGGAGGAAGAATGCACACAAAGGAACCTCACGCCACCTGGGGAGTGGGAGGGACAAAAAAAGCCCACAACACACGAACACAACCACAACAGACACCATCAATACTATTTTCTAGTCAGTCAGTAATACTTAAAAAACAACACAAGTTTGATTCCCAGACTACTTTGTCTCACATATCTTATAGTGCCCCAGACTTCTTAAAGGCAAGATAACACCATTATATAAGAGCTGTAAGATTAGGCTGCTTTCAGTCACAGTTGTGCAACTGACTGAAGACAGCTAAGGTACAGGCTGCAGCTAAAAGAATAGTCCTGGCCATTGCCCTATATCAGCATTAGCATGGTCAGATGGGTCAGGAAACTGATTTCATTTAGCTGAAAAGGAACCCAGGGGGAAAAAAAGAAGTTTTAAATGCTAGTACCGTCACAAAGGAGGAAGAAGTAATGCATAGCAAGGACCCTCCCTGCAGTAACGGCGTCTAACTGCAGGTTAAGAAAATCATGGGCCCCTACTGTAAAAGCTCAGTAGACCAAAAAACATTAAGATTCCTGACATAAAAGAAAATACAGTATCTTCAACACCCAAACAAAACTAATTTCTTCACATTCTTAAAAAGCAAATATCCAGAAGACAGTTTCCAAAAAAAAAAAAAAAAAAATCTACAAGAGCCGCAGACCATGTATAAGCTAAGCTATCTGCACATTCAAAACAAAAACTGCATTGGTTTTTCTGGCTACAAAATGAAGTTACTTGTTGCCAGAAGGCAGAAAGAAGTATAACTTCATATCAGTGACATAAAATCAGTAATTTCTTCACTTGTTCTGAAAAGCTAAGACCGTTTTTATTATTTTTATACTTACAGACAGACTCTGTAATTACAAATTTCTAAAGGGGGACCCTTACAAGGTTTTATCAGAAATACTTGTTTCAAAGTTTCTTCAGGAATACCTGCATCTTTTTATCATTTCCCCTGGCAACAAATGGTGTAACAGCAGTAAAAAAATTCCAAGTATTAACCTACTGCAAATATAATTTTAAACTTGGCAAGCCCATTACACGACCTTCAACAGTATTTCTTTAAGTCTGAAACTCTTCTGGCATAATCCCTTCTTAGACAACTCTTTGAAAGGAAAGCTTCAGGTTAAGAATGTAGATTTCTGAAATGCAACACCAGTAGGAGTTCATTTTTTCCAAGGTTTACAACCTTCTGTAAAGCTGTTATTTAAAGGACATTTGGTCCATAAGGTAGAATTTGCTGTATTCAATACCATGGACAAAATCTATTATTGAGGCAGGGATGTTTCCAGAAGGCAAGGTACAAATTCTTAAGCCTTCTCTACTATGAAATTTTCACTATGAAGCTTTCAATGACGAAAACAGTTGGTCATGAAAAGTATAGTAGGGACAATACTGTTCGTACAGCATAACAACTTTGCTATTTAAACCTCACTTTTAGACAAGAATTCGTAATTAAAATTAATACAGCTATAAGAGAGATAACTAATAGGATGCTTGGATCTTTGATGCACACTGTCAAAATATGTTCTCAAGACTTTATGCAAAGAGTTTCAAAATCACTACAGAGAATAGCAAAGCATTCTCACACACTACTTTAAGTATAAAAACAGAAAACACTTCAGCTACATCATACTTCACAAATTTTACTGTATATTTCAAGAGGTTTGAGGCTTTTCTATTACTTATTTCCTAAAAAAGCAAGTGCCCAGCTGCCATTTCTGTCTTGAGAGGAAGAACAGTTTTAAGGCTGAAGTACTGGGCTGGCACTTAAGATGGTAGTTTCACTGACACACAGAAAACACAGACTCAGTACAATCTCCCAACACTCACAAATGACACTAAGTTCACTAATGTGTTTGAGATAAGCAGACACTAGAATGGTGAACACTAGAGCATATACTGTATGTTGCAGTGAAAGTGTAGACAAGGGAAAGGGTAGACCAGCCCCAACACAAGCAGGCCCTGTGTTCCTACAACTCAACCACAACAGAAATAGCAAAGCTGCATTAACATCAAGCTAAATTAAGATATAAATTAGTTAGAATACTACATATGCAGCATAAAATCTCCAGAATACAGTTTACATAGACTGTTCAAATTAAATCGATGAATCCTGATCATACTTTCTCCTCTCGCAAGAGAAAGGGCTCAGTATCAAAATGACCAGGCTATTTACAGATAGATGATGGACAGGAATTTAGAAGTATCTAGTAAAGAGGGAAGAAGGAATTCCAGAAGTGATTGAAAAGTTAATTGAAATTTTTCACTCCTATCACCCAGCTATTAGTATAAACATAATCAAGACAGGACATTCAGTGGTGACTTTCTCTTAGCAGTTCTCCTCAGCAGGAGCAGAACTGATGATAACCTGAACGATGAAATTAGAAAAATGCAAAGGACAGGTAATCACTACTGCAACTTTTCAGCTCTAACTTCTTTGTTACAGAACCTATTAGTAAATCAGGCATGAAAAAGCTATTCTTTGAAAATGCACTGGTGCATTCAGTCTGGGCTACAGAAATAAAAACTCCACTTTCCTCCGTGAATGGTGCACTTTCAGCAGCTTTCTATAAACATTCAAACTCCACCTAAATACACATAAAATTTATCCTTTTTACCCATTAAAATCTTATGTTAAAATGCAGTTTCTCCTTCATTGTAACTTTTTTCCTAAAAATAAAACTGATTGATGTTCTCAAATTAAATTCGACCTAAACTGGACAAATAAAGGTTAGTGTAAACTAGTCCTCTCTTTCCAAACCAGCCAGTGTTTTCATTTATGTTTCAGATCCCTATCATTTTTTCTTTCCACAGATTTATTTCCCTCATACAAAATAAGAGAGTTCACAAAAAGTAAGAATAAAACTTACCCCCATTATCTGTTCTCTTTAAAGCACCATCCTTATGAGGGCATAATTCACATCTCTAGGAAAAAAAGCAAAAATAAAATAAAAAAATGGAACGATCATAGGAGCATTGAAAAAGAAACCACACACATCAAAACTGTTAGCTGACATTAAGGAAGCAACCATTCTTTAAAAGCGAATGGGTGTGTTTTCCCTTAGCCTTTACTTGAATATTAATGTTAGTTTGTCACAAACACAAGCTTTCTTCTCCAGATTGTGAAACTATGATATATATTAAAGCTACTCACAGTTCTACCTCCAAGTTTTTATTCCTGGATTCCACACCCTGGAATTCTGGAGACAAGCCTCCAAAAGCTCCTCTGTATTCACCAAGGTGGTCAATCAAAGATGTGCCATGGATATAATCGGCACAGGTGCACACACCGTGGCTGACTTCACAGTCTCTGCTGACTCTCACTTACCCTGAGAGACCAAAAACAATCTCGCTTTCTGTCTCAGAAAAAGGAGGTCAGAAGTTGACTCATCCTTGAAATTATCCAAGACTGTATGTCTGGAAACATGCAGTTTGACATCATATTCTTCCGACATACACCAGGATCACAACAGTACAACCATTCTGCTATCGCTGCCTCTATCAAGTTCCTAATATCAAGTTTATCTCTAAGTGTCCTGGAGCAGTGTGAACCAATTCCAAACCAGTTCAGAGATGACAGAAATTGAACAGGTTTGACACACATTCCACTTCAACTGGTCTAGATGACAGGCAAAGGAACACCATTACAGGAGATCCTACACCTAGGAATCACCTTATTAAAACCTTGTGCATTGCCAAATTAGGGACAACTCAAAGCATACCAATCTAACAAGCTTTTTAAGAAACTGAACAGTCTTATCATCAGATGCAAACTTAACAGCACATCCTTCAAATGGAGAGGGACATCTGGCATCAGTACAGATCTTCTCTGTGTTCCCTGAACAGTACTATTCTCCATTACCAGATAAAGGAGCCTGTGATGCTAGAAGTGCCTCAGACTGTCCAAACTTATTTGAGAAATGAGAAATTCCATTCCTGAAATTCACATGGCTGAAGTATATCTTGAGGACTATCTATTAACCTGCAAGAAAGTTTACAATAGCAGCAAAGAGACTTTCACAATGGTAGAATAGAAAAGTTCTTAAATTATTTTTGCTCAGTGCATTGGTACAGACTGCTGCACACAGGAAGAAGAATCTTTAGGATTGCTGCTTTTTGTCTTTTGCTTCACTCATCCCTCCCTCACATTCACCCATTAAAATGATCAGCAACTTATTGAAAGGCAGCATTAAGTCTATGGTGAAATTTAGAGATAAAAGTGGTTGAAAACTTCTGAACCATTCTGTAAGCTGCCTGCAGACTGGGAGCATTACAACTTTTTTTTTAAGTCAAGGCTATAAGGACTTCCTTGCCACTGAAATGAACTGATAAGTTCATTTTAAACAAATCCTACATATGCGGTATGTATGCGAGCTGTATCTTAACACTCCAGCTCTCCAAATACTAAATACTAGGTGGTGAGAGACACTCAGTAGCAGTAGGTTCATTTCACAGTTTAATTCCCCATACACCGAACCACATTCTCAAAGTGAGAAGCCTGGTATATATTGATGGTGACAGTACAAGAAAGGTTGTTCCCACCCCAAAGCTTCCAGCTGGCAGCTTCAGGCCAGTGAGCAGAGATGATATATCTACGACTGAGACAAGGTAAGCTGTTAAAATAGTCTACCTTGCCCCACCTCTGCAAGCCTGTGGAAGTTTGACATACATTTTCACTAGTGGCAAAACCAGTTTAGGAGGTTTTCTTCCTCCCTTCACCTCTCCCTTATTAACCTCTCCCTCTACCACTCCCTCAGCTGCTGACCCAACTATCTGTAGGGGTGCCCCTTAAACCACATCAATTAAATGGAGTGAAATGAACTTTTTTTTTTTTTAACATTTTTAATTCAGGTCATATCACTGATACAATTTAAGGACAATCCCACAATCAGTTGCATCAGCAAAACTGAAGGCGGTGAGCCATAGCATTAGTAATTAAAGAATTAGCAAACTTCTTGAGCAAATTTTACACAAAATTAAAAAAATTAAAGAGATCACAGGACACTAAGTGGCAAGGAACTGAACCAGTCTGTTATGCAGCAGAGTTAAGCATCTTCCATTCAGTCTCATCAGAGCTCAGTTTCAACTAACTTCTTTTTGTCTCGTATCTCTAATAGGACGCAGGTCCATTAGGTCTTATTACTCATTACTCCTCCGCAGTCCCGGCTGCAATCAGTCAGAGAAAGAAAGAAGACAGAAAACTAAAGTGGAGGAGGAAGCTTTGACAGTGGAACAAAACTTGAGTGCAGGTAGTTCTGCAGAGTATCCTCTCAGTGGCAGGGAGCAGTGTGCCTGCAACCCACTCTCATGAAGCTGCAGCTGGGCAACTGTGCAGAGATACTTGCACTGTGATGACACAGAGCACTTCTGGTGCCCTGAATTCTGGCCACAATCTGCAATAAAGTAGCACCCTAGTAAACTAACACACCACACAGTGACCCCTTCCGCTTCCCCCTCTAGATTGTGAGCCTAACTCCTTCCCAGCCTCCACACTCTCAGATTCTGTCACCCATTTCTGCTCTCCCAAGTTTCAATACGCACCCCATAGGAACATCAGTAGCTTTGCCAGATGGGAACAGTGTGCCTCATCCCTGGATACAAGTAACTAGTAGGAAATTTTTCCTTTTTTTTTTTTTTTTAACTAATACTTCATTACTAGTTCTAAAATCTTTCTGAAATTATATATTGCTGTAAAAGTGATAATTTCAGCTGAGAATTTGCAAAGTGACTGAAAAAATCTTAGGTACTTTCAAAATGTTTAAATACATGTTGTTACAAAGGATTCTGTAGGAGAAAGGAAAGGAGACAGTTGGGGTGTATATGTATCTCAGAAGTCCAGTTACTTACAATTTCTTATTTGAATGTTTTCGTCCATGCAGTGTCTCCTTCTTCCAGTTTACTTATGGATGGAGCTTGGAGTTTAAGTGAACAGCAACAGCTGAATCTCTCTACTAAATGCCACATCACATACAACTTGTATGATGGAATAAAGCTTTGATCTCTGCAACACGGGATAAGGAATAATCTGACCATCGGTTACGGATGGTCAGACGGTCTCTAATATTTAAGCACACAGACCATGCCAGAGCTCTCTCCTCCAGTTGTGCATTTTAAGTCTTAGCTCTGGCAAAGTATTTCTGACACAGATTTATTGTCTGAGCATTCAAAAATATTGTGAGGAACTATCAAACAAGTGGGGGGGGGGCGGCAGAGGGAAGGGGTAAGAGGGGCAGACGCAACACCCACAAGACTTCACAGCATAAATAGGGCAAGCTGCTATGACTGATCAACAGGTCAGATAAACATCATCAGGTTCGACAGTGCAAATGTGAATACTAAAGAGGCTGACTGTGACCCAAGAGAATAACCACATCCTTTGGTGTGCTGAAGGGCTCTAGTCCTATAGCAGGGAGGGGCACCAGTGCACGTAGTGCTGTAGGTACAGCCAGTTGAATTAGATTTGAAGAAGAGGAGTGAAAAAAGACACAAATACTGGCTGAAGGAAGACTGAAGTTGTAGCAAGTGACACTGTCCCTTCCCTTCCGTCCCTACAGAATATAACATGGGTATCTCATTTTTGCAGCTCTTTGGTGGAACAGACTAAGTTCATGGATCTAGCTTCTGTCCAAGCAGAACTCAGGTGAACTCTCAGCAGGAACTGCTTTGGACTATCAGGTCTCCTGCAGAGGACTAAAGTGAAACCAATCTCAAAGTTGTGCAGCTGGAACAGTCTGACAGTGTGACTGTCACAACTCACTTCTGAGCTACATAAACAGCAAGTTAATTAAGTGAAAGACGACTGATCGTGTAACCTTAGCATCCAGGCAACTTGAGACAGCCTGGGTCTGATGAAAAGCCCACTGCCTCCTGAGGGGTCTAATCCTTAAGAAGTCACCCAGGAGAGACCTAAAGTGGTCAAAAGCATGGGAGGCCCACGCAGAAGAGGAAAGAACTAAATTTTTTCTGTCATTATTAAAAAAGTAGAAATAACCAAGAAGAAATAAAGAACAGTTAAATTAAAAAAAAAAAAAACACCAAACACAGGTGTCCACTAAAGATACCCAGCAGAAAAAAGTTCCAAGACCAGAAGACTAAAATAAGAGAAGTAAAGAAGGAGCTTAAAAAAAAAAAAAAAAATCCATCTTCCTATACTTAGTCACAGTCCAATTTGGCTCCACTGTATTGTGGCACAAAGTTTTCTCCCTCTATTTTAGATAAATATGCTTTTGCATTTTAATTGGGACTAAGAGCTACCTTAACCAACAGTAGATAACGTCAGACAAATCTAATTACTTGAGTCTTTTTGGTTAATATAACTCTACCAATTTTTCAACTGGAAATGGAGGAAAGGCATAGAGAAGCTGATTTAATCCAACAGACTACATATGTGGAAACGAAGAGAAAGAGCAAAAGACATGCAGTAGATAGGGAAGATAAAGAGAGATAGCAACAAGACTGTACAAGCAGGAGAGGAGGAAAAAAAAGAATAGTAGGAATATAGCATTGTTCTTCCCTCAGGGTTCTGTAAATTTGGAGCAAGTTTCAGAAAGCATCATCCGCAGACATCCATTATATGCTGTCTCTTGTTATAAGAAAACAAAGGTCAAAGAATTCTTGTGCAAGTAATTTACTGAATTCTGGTCCAAGCTAGGCCAATGGAACCATTCACCTAAATAATGACTGTCAACCAAGTGAAGTCCTGCCGGACTGAATTCCCAGCATTGCAATGAGGCAATAAACTGTGTGTCTCAATATGACCTGTTAGCCTGTTAAAAAACACAAGAAGATCTACAGCAGATTAAAGAGACCACAGTTCCTAAAAGTTAGCTGAGTAATCAGGCTGCAGTTCCAGCTGACTTTACTTCAGGCTCACTTTAAGCTAACTTTACTGCAGACTGCTGCCAAAAGATCATGGGCCATCCCCT